CTTAACCCACGTGCCGGCCCGCAGGCCAAGAGCCAGTTCAAGCGGCGCTCCACGGCCAACAACGTGGAGATCCACATCCCCGTGCCCAACGATGCCGACTCACCCAAGTTCAAGACCACGGTGGGCAGCGTCAAGTGGGTGCCCGAGAACAGCGAGATCGTGTGGTCCATCAAGTCCTTCCCGGTGAGGCTGCGCCAGGGCCGGTGGGGCAGCTGTGCCTGGCGCCCACTTGCTTCTTGCTGTTTTGTTTCGTTTTGGTAGCGGGCTGGAACCCAGGGCCTTCACACCCAGCTGAATCCGCGGCCCCTTTTTTTTTTTTTGAGATAGAGTCTTACTAAGTTGCCCACGCCCAGGTTTTTCTTTTTTTCCGGGGCTGGCTTTGGAGCCTGCGGCCCCTGCATGCCAGGCAAGCGCCGGCCACCGGGTGGCACCCTGGCCTGTATGTTTCCATTTCGTTATTTCCACTGGTCCAGGTTTGCAGGACATGGTGACCACACTCCGAGTAGGGGTTGGCACTTAGATTTCCGCACGCTGCCGTTAGATCCAAGGTGGCCTTTTAAACATCGGGTCCTTCGCTGCGCGTGGTGGCGCTCGCCTGTCATCCCAGCCAGTACTGGAGGCTGAGGCGGGAGGATTGCTGTGACCTCAAGGCCAGCCTGGGAAAACATGGAAAGACGCAGTCTCAGAAAAAAAAAAAAAAAAAGATAAATGGGTGGGGGGGTTGCAAAACGCTCTGGCTCCAGAGTCAGCACATTAAAGGCAGCCCCGGGGAGCCTCTGTTGAGGGGGCCTGCTCCTGCCGCCCGGCAGGGCCCTGTGCACCCCTCCCCAGCCCGTGTGGGAAAACGCAGGGACCTGAAATGACCGTCCCGACCTTTTTCCGCTTTTCCCTCTTTGGTAGCCCTGGGATTGAGCCCAGGGCCTTCACACCGAGCACCTTTTATTTTCTGGGTCCGGGTCTGGCCACCGCCCCCGCCGCCTTCGCAGCGCCAGGGAGGAGGGCGGGGGAGGGAGGCAGGATGCGGGCGGC